GGCTTTAGATTCTCAGTGCTGTGCTTTAACCCGCTGCGCCACCAGGGAGGGCCCAAATAATTGCATTTTTATGTAAGAATCTTGCATTCAGTAATGTTGACAGGTTTTTCTGCTCTAGTAATTTTAAAATTTTTTATTATTTATTTATGCATACAAGAACCGGGGCGTAGGCCAGCAGTGCGGGGGGTGAGAGGACTCACCAGAGAGAGTGGGGAGCAGAACAGGTGGATCTACTGAAATACACTGCTGAGGGGGGCAGCAGGGAGACAGGAGGGGTCTGCCGCGCCATAGGTGAGTCGGCTGCGGGGATGGGACCCATGCCGAGCGAGAGGCAGTAGCTTAATAGCGCTGAGACTTGACCCCTAAGCACCAGGAGGCCCTGCACTAGTAACTTTTATGACATTTGGCAAGAGCATTGGTATATTTACTAAAGGGTCCTGCATAGTTCTCTGTTTTCATCCTCAACAGCTTTATTGTCTCAGCCTTTGCAGAATGAACATTTGAAGCCTTTTTTTTTTTAAACCAAATAGAAGGTTGTGGAGCAGGGTATTTGCGATAAGATCTCTACTCTCAGCGCCCCCCAGATCATTGCACCAAATCTCTTGTATTTAGACGTCAAAAGCCTGAGTGGCTTCGTGGAAGCTGTGGTAAATAAGCCGCACCAGCTCTAGCAGTTGTTATATATGACGGCTTGCGGGGAGATTCAGAGGTGTTTGTACATAAGATCTTTAGGACTGATAGGTTGTTTTTCAGGATTTTTTCAAGCCTGAAGCTGAGAGTTTAGTCATCTCTTCATCACTCTTCCCTAGTTGGGGAATGTGCAGTGTCATCAAAGGGTCATGAGGTTCCTGTTTAATCTAGGAAGTAAGCGGGTTTGGGCCTCTCACATTTATTTGGTCAGTTGTTTGACTCGTCTTTCATCTAACTCCAAATTCATTACAGGAAACTTGTTCCAACTAGTCAAAGCACTAATTGCGGCTGTAATCTCTAGTCCAGACAGGTGAACCGTGCCAAGAAGGAAGAAGTTCGAGAAGCCAATAAGTATTTTTTCATCGAATCCTGCATTGCTCTCTTTGTTTCCTTCATCATCAACGTCTTTGTCGTCTCAGTTTTTGCTGAAGCATTTTTTGGGAAAACCAATGAGCAGGTGGTAAGTAAGCCATGGTCACGAGTGGTCGTGAAAGGGAAGGGAGGGCTGGAACGGGAAACACTAGTGACCTGGTGCTCACAGGAACAGACCTGTAGCCTCCTGCTGCGCCCTAGAGCTCAGCACCGGCCCAGCTCTGCAGGTCCTGACCAAGCACGGACCAGCTTTCCCAGCTTTTGGCTGGAAGAAGAGCTGCTTCAGACCCAAGGCTGCCTCGTGCTGTGATGTCAGAGCCTTCCTGCTGTTTGGCTCTGACACCCCCCCCCTTTTGTTTCCTGTTTATCAGTTGCCAGTACCAGTATTTGGTGAAGAATCAGCCAACAGAAACTGTGGCTGGCAGACTTTCTTCCATTTTGAATTCTCTGTCACTTTGATGCCTGGTGGCCTGTCTTATTTTGAGTACCCCGATGTTTCCCATCTGACCCTTCTTTGGCTAAGAACTCCCTCTTCTGGGGGTCTGCCCATAATCGAAACTTTCTCAAGGGCCCTCTCCTATCATACTTAAAAACCAGCATCATGTAATACCATGCATGCTGTAATTCAATAAATACTACAATGACCTGTGTAATGAGAGTGCGGAGAGATTATGGAGGGAGAGCACAGCACAAATGCCATCGCTGTCAGTATCTGCCCGTCATGCCGGTCTCCAGTCTCACCTGCAGCCTGTATTTTGTAATTGACTTGTGTGTGACCTACAGGAGGCCTCTTACTAACCCTTGCTTTGAAAATAAAAGTTGCTCCTAAACTGTTTTGCTTTGTGTTCTAGGTTGAAGTCTGTAGAAATAGCAGCAGTCCCCACACTGACCTTTTTCCTGACAATAACTCAACATTGACTGTGGACATCTATAAAGGGGTAATCCTGTTCAGCTTTGTCATCTTTGATCCTGAATCAAGTTTCTTGGCATACTGTCTGGATTTCACTGTGGGTGTGCTTCAGAGCTAAGCATGTTCCCCTGGGAGTGTCGCTGCGTTCAGAACCTAGATGCCAGAGCAGTGTTCTGTTTCCTGGGCAGGAATAGAGGATCGGCTGGAAAGATGAGGCATACCAGCCGAGTTTGTGTTGATTGTGGTAACTAAAGAAATTGTTCATTATTGGGGCCTCGCAGTCCTTTTGTGCTCCAGGAATAGAAATCACAGGTGGCATTTCCCAAGTCAGTTTCACATTTCTCTTCACTTCTGTCACCAGTTTCCAAAATGGTGTCCTAAGGAATATAACTTGAGAAATGTGTAGCTCTTCTAAAACATATTTTTAACACATAGGTGAAGATGATGGCTTAGGAACTTGGAGAAGAGAGAGGACTAGACTGAGGAAGAATGTAACAAAATGAGGTTGAAGCCTCTAGCATGAGCTGGGGCCTGAGTCTCGCTTCTGGGACATTGGCCAGCACAGCGTGTGGTGTCGGTGGGTGCCAGCGAGGAGCGAGGAGAGGTGCTCTTTGCTGTGTCACCTGAGCACCTCATCACACAACTTACCTTTTTCCCTTGCTTCCCGCAGGGCGTTGTACTGGGCTGTTACTTTGGACCCGCCGCACTCTACATCTGGGCAGTGGGCATCCTCGCGGCAGGACAGAGCTCGACCATGACAGGGACCTACTCTGGCCAGTTTGTCATGGAGGTTTGTGTCGTCCTGACGGGTATAGAATAGCAGGGGAGTCGTCCTTTGGTTGTTTTAATCCCCTGCTCCTAAACCTGAACCCCCCAAACCTTTTTCTGCTTCCTGTTCCAGATGTTTATCCTGCCTCTGTGTTTTCTCCCAGGGATTCCTGAACCTAAAGTGGTCACGGTTTGCCCGAGTGATTCTGACTCGCTCCATTGCCATCATCCCTACGCTGCTTGTCGCTGTATTCCAAGATGTGGAGCATCTCACGGGGATGAATGACTTCCTGAACGTTCTGCAGAGCTTACAGGTGATGAGGGAGCTGGAGAGATTTACCTCCCTTTTAGTCAGCATGATACACTTCCCTCAGGTATCAAGCCTGGTGCTGGGTGCTGAGGGGTGAGGGGAAATTGAGAGAAGAAGCGGTACAGTGTTGGCCTGTGGTGAATGTATGTGAATTCCCTGGCATTTAGTGGCGTTAGAAATGACTTGCTTTTTTAATCCTGTTGATGTGAATTATAACTGTATAGAACAAAAATTCTGTTCTTTATCCACGCAAGTACTAAGTGATCGTAAAGGTCAGTAATAGGTCCTGTGGAGGTGGAGAAGACAAGTCAAGTACAGCTGTCTGTGAGACACTTGTGAGCACCCTCGTGGTAGGTCAGGACACTGGAGGTCTCCATGTAATGCTGGAGTGTGTCGGGGTAATCACTCCTCATGGGGTAGCAAGGGCAGTGTCTACTTATAGTAGGACCGGGCAGGGCTCGCTAGTAGTGCTGCTTTGCTTCGGGGTGACACATGGACCCCAGTAGCCCTGTCTGATCTTTGTTCTTGATTTTTCAGCTTCCCTTTGCTCTCATACCCATCCTTACCTTCACGAGCTTGCGGCCGGTCATGAGCGACTTTGCCAACGGATTGTGAGTATCTGCCTCTGGGTTTCCTGTAGGGTGTGGGGGAGTAGGGCCGTCAGACAGGCGAGGCAGACAGTGCGTTACCCAGAGGCCTGTGCTCTGAGAGGCGAGTGCTGGCGCTGCCACCTGGAAAGTCCACCTGCAGATGTGAAGGCGAGCAGCACATTTTTCATTTCTTGGGGCAAAGTTCAGCTTTTAGGGCTTTAAGTCTGCAGCTTCAGCCACCAAAGCGTAAAGCACCTTAATTTCATGTTAAATGACTTTCATGATACATCTTTAAAGATAGGGGTGTTTGAGATGACTTGTTGCATCTGTGGGGATGCATAACTTGCGTTTCTAAGGCATTTTGAATTTCTGGGGATTTAAACATTAGAGATTACTTACTTGTTAGTACTTTAGAACTATCAGTGTCTAACTTTGCCTCATTTGCCCTAATCTGGAACATATTTAAAAACTATTTTTTTAGTTCATTTAAAGGGGCTCTTACTCCCGTGCTCCCGACGCTGTAAGGTCAGTGTCCCTTTCTGCTTATTGCCAGGCTGGCCTAGTCCGTCAGTTACCACGCTGGTTCTTTTACAGGGGCTGGAAGATTGCGGGTGGCATCCTGGTCCTCATTGTGTGTTCCATCAACATGTACTTTGTGGTGGTTTACGTCCAGGACCTAGGGCATTTGGCTCTGTACGTGGTGGCTGCTGTGGTCAGCGTGGCTTACCTGAGTTTTGTGTTTTACTTGGTAAGTGCAGTCTGGAGTGGGCGGGGGCCACCATCGAGGACGGTAGCGGTGGGGCTGCCTAACATTCAGAAGTGAAGGTACCCCAAAACACTCATAGCAGTCAAGCTCTAGAATATTGAGACAATTTATATGAAATTGCACATCACCATGGTTAAATAATATTTGTAACCACGAAATTTGCCTTGGCCGCTTAAGAGTTATCACTTCCCTATTTGTCATTTCCATCTGGTTTCCAATTTTAATCATTTCTACTAACAGACTGTAGTTTGTATGAGGAGGGAAAGAAGGCCAGGAAGGTGGAAAGTACAGCGTGGTACAAGTGGAGGCGCGCAAGGGAGCGGCGAGTGCGGTGTCGGAGCCGGGAGGGGGCTCCGCTCTCCGCTGGGCTCACAGCCCTGCTCAGCTCTGCACTTAATAGCTGCCCGTCCAGGAAATAGTAAGCACTCACCTTCTCTCCGGGTTACTGGAGAGGTGTTTAAAAGTGGTCATAAAACTAGCCTACATAGAGCTGGAGAGTTATTTGTATCCAAATAATGAAAAAATCTGCTTAAATTATGTAAATACCGTATTAGTAGTGCCTTAGGGGTGGGGCTATGCATATGTTCTTTCCTCTCTTTTCCAAATCTCTTGTAACATTATATTAATGAAAGACAGCTACAGCAACGACAACCTCAAATCCACCCCCTCTTCTGCGCAGCTTTCTCTGAAAACCACAGGGATTGAAGATTAGGGATAGCAGAACTTACACAAGTCTGCTGCAGAGAATGGTTAGGGTGGAGGCAGGTTTCATAGCACTTGCTTAGTTCCATGCCAGCGTCTGCCGCAGGCTAGGGATCTGGCTGACAAAGTCACTTAGTGAATATTGCAAAGTTGTATACCAGTGTGACAGAGCCCTTCTCTTTTCCCCCATTAAATTTAGGGTTTACTGAGCTGATGCTCAGCCTAAAATCTAGGGACTAACCGCAAGGAAGCCCAGCTAAGCGAATGCACCCTTCGCAGGAATTGTTTTTAGAGTTTGCTACAGACGTTGGAATCCTTCCTTCATACATATTGGTTATCAAGGCACCTGAGACCCATTTTTAGAGCTAGGGGCTGTTTTCTAGAGTGGTTTACTATTGCCTAGCTCTGGAGTTCATGCTCAGGAGTTCGTAGAGACGCTCAGGAGACGGTTGAATTGTGTCAGTCTGTCACTCGTTCCCCTTTCTGATGATTGGGCTGGAACTAAGGGAAGTCCCAGCTGGAGCGAGCAGCAGCTGTGGCCGGCAGGAGCAGAGGGAGGTCAGCGGTGAAGAGCTGATGGAGAACTTTGCTGAGGAAGGCGGCCAGGGTGTTTTGGTGGGAGTGGGCTTGGGGACTTGTGCCGCACTCGGTAAAGACAGGCAGAGCTGGGTGTTCAAGGAAGAGAGTAGGTTTGCCTCCGAGCAAGACAGTCACTGGGCAGGAGGGCTCTTCAGAGACCTTAATAAAAGATGGCTGTGCTTTGTCTTTCAGGGTTGGCAGTGTTTGATTGCACTGGGCATGTCCTTCTTGGATTGTGGGCGCACGGTAAGCATCTCTAAAGTCCTGCTGACAGAAGAAGCCAGTGGTGGCTACACTAAGTAACAAACACTGGACCGTTTGCTGCTTCCACACGCAGCCATCAAAGCCAGGGTGTTTCTGTGGTTCACTGTGTAGCCGTAGGCCAAGTATGGGCTGCAGCTGGTCTGTAGGGCTCAGCTGGTCGTGGGAAGGACTGTTGCCTCCATTTGAAAGATGGAAAGTTTTCTTCCTGGCCTCCTCATCTGAGGACTGGGTTAGGTGTGATCTTTAAAAAGCTCACCTTTGCTGCTGTCATTTCAACACTAAACTTTTAAATAGTTGCTCAAGGAAAAGCTTGTTTTACAACTTTTAAAAATAATCTATATATTACTTTTAACCAAGCAATATGTTAAAAATACATACTTGGAAAATAATAAATTTTTCATAATACAAATTAGAGAATGGGTATGCAAATTTCCTTTTTTCCCCCCAAGAGATAATGAAATAATAAAGTAGAGAAATACTTTTCTTATGCACACCCTTTCAGTTACTGTACATATAAACAATAAAATCTCAATTAGAGTGGTTTCATTTATATTAACTGTAAAATTAGGAGAGATCTACCTCTACTAGGTCCAAGATTCTTTTAACTTGTTTCCACTTTAAATTTCTCAGTGGAAGTCAGAGGGGCAAGAAAGCATAAAGAATGCACTAAGTAGGCAAATAGTAACACACACCTGTAGGTGGTGGTTGGTAACTGCCCTGGAAGTCACTTCAGAGGTTGAAAGCTGGTCAGAGTTTCCGTGCGACTCCGATTTAACGGCCCTCCTGCAAGTGCAGAGCTTTCCTGGTGCTGTTTACTCTCAACTCAAGTAATTGTAAAATCTCCATCCTCATCCTGAGGGTATGGCACAAAAACATGGTGATATTTTTGACTGACGTTCTCCTAATGCTTTGGGAATGAGGAGAAAAGACTCAGAAGGAGAAGAGTTTTTTCCCTGAAAGCCCTCTCCTACCAGTCATAATGTTTTTCGGAAGCTCCGACCTGCTTCATGCCAGGACGACTTGCAGTCCCAGGAGCTGTGGGCTGACTTACAGAGCTCGCTCTCACCAGTCACTGGTGTCTCTGATGGCGGAGTTCTTGCTCAGCAAGGCTGCATTTGGGTGCTTGCTTCTCTTCAGTCATTTCCTCCAAGAAAAAGTTCTCGGAGACCAGATGGTGGCGCTCTGGAGTTAGAGGAAATGTTTCCATTCAGCCTGACGCTGCTCCTCTTCAGCTGCTCAGGACATTTTACATGTGGAACCTGAGGCTGATTATCGCAAATCCAGTCACTTTTGTTTTGGTGGTGAAAAGTAATCAAAAGCCTATGATAGCCATTGACTCTGTGAGAACAGTGTGGAAATGCTTCGAAGGACTTCTCACTGCTCACAACGGTCGTCCTGGCTGGCTGATGTTCTCTGTTCACCTGAGCCCTTAACGGAGGAGCCATTGTTGGTATTTTGCACAAACTCCAAATCCAGACTTAGTGGGTTGTCTTTCATAAGACATTGAGGGTCAACACTTGTATTTCACTGACCACTTCACCTTAGACCACCAGTGACACAGCAGAAGACCACAGAAGCTTCCCTACGTGTCCCCACATCTGCTCCTCTCTGTACCACCATTCCCAAGCTGATTAGAAGGGCTTTCTGAGAAGATACTGGGGACTTAAGACTCACCTGGCTGCAGTGGGTGAGGGCCAGGTTAACCCAAAAGGCCCTGAGCCTGGGTGGGCCCGTCAGTGTGTCAGTCACACTGTGTAGAACCTAGCTAAAGCTGCTAGTGTTGTTCTTAAAGTATGTTTGTGGCTTCCAAGGATGGAAAATTTCCCAGTTAAATGGCATTTTGTGACCTTGTGTGCGGTGTGTTGTGGTGTTAACCTGCCCATACCCTACTCCACTTGCTCCTCTTAGACGATCTCCCCCAACCAGTACGCTGGGTGCAATAAACGACGTTCAGAACTTAAATCTTCCGATGTGTTTGTGTGGAAGGCTGAGGATAACTAATTGTATTTTGTGTCAGTTGACTTGTCCACAAATGTGACATGAAGTAGTCATGCCTCTACAGCATGCCGAGACTTAACAGGCACGTGGAGGAGCTGCGGGGGTTGCTGCGGTAGGAAGGGTCACACCAGCTTTTCAGCGACCATTTAGCACTATGTAAACTTGACTTGTAATTAAAAATTTTTTTTTGCTTTTTCCAATTTGGTTTCCTGGGTATTTGTTTGACCTTGAAAATGCTAATGAAGTATGATGAGCATCTTAGGAAGTCTCCATGTTGACACAGAAGTACAGAAACATCAGTTACCCGCTGGGCTGCATATGAAGCCCACACTGAGTGCTTTCCTCCTGAGAGGGGGTAGAGAAATACATGAATTTAGTTTCCAAAAGACACAATAAATTGCAGGCACGAAGACACTAATTTCTGTTTACCCACTTAGGTAGTTCCGCTATTGCTAAGGATGGCAACTAGCAGGTTTGAACTTGGGGAAAAAATATTATTCAGCTTTAAGCTGAACATTTTTCTACTAATAGCCTTTTACCATAAAGTAGGCCTTTTCATCTTATATATGCCACCATAAAACGTACAGACTCCTTGGTAGAGAAATCAAAAGTGTTGAGTATAAACATGAATGAGCATTTTGAAAGACCTGATATAAGTGGGACTATTGGCATTGCTTAATAAAAACAAAGACTTTTAAATAAATAAAAATACAGTAAGCTACTCGCCCTGTCACCTGATGCATGATGGGAAAATCTAAAGTCAGCTCTTTGTTTGCCACAGGAGTATCAGTAGAACTTCATTCTACTTTCTCTGTTGCAAATTTTCCTGCCTCTTGCTGGAGCCGAATACTCCAAACAACACATGAAAGTAACCTGGGGGGAATTTCTCCTTGTTTGCCTCATTTTGCTCTCCTTGATTTGGGTTTAATTTCAGAATTAAAATAAGATGTAAAACAATTGGAAGATCCTGGTTTGAGGCATTGCCTTTAGCTCTGCCCTCTTAGGACCCTCTGCTCCTTCACTGGACAGGACCAGTGGACTTAGCTTTTGGCTCTCTAGCTTATGTCTTTAAGTGGCTAATGCTACTATTTACTGCTTTTGGTTTTAGCACTTCTGTTTCCTCACTTAATTCTTAGATCAACGAGAGGGTCAACCTCTTGTGAAACTATAAAATAACTTCCCAAATCACATCCCTGATAGTGGGCAGTTGGCATTAAACTTGAGTAGTTCAACTCCAGAACCCACATGGTCATTACCTAACCAGTTCATGTAATATACAGTCACCCTTGGCGAGGTCAGACACCAAGCACTGATGCTTAGCATGAGGAACATGCAGACATGGGAATATTTACCTAATACTCTCATTAGTGCTAGAATATATTTTAGTTCAGAACTTACCAACTGGCAGACTAATTTTGTTTGACCTGCACTAAATTTTAAAAAGGAACTGGAAGGTCTAGAAAATGGGCAAGGCCCCATCTATCGCTAAGGAGGAATTGCTTACTTGCTCGCTTTACTTCTCTGACCCGAAAGCTTTTTAGCCTATCCCTGTGCCATTTAACCCCCTTTCTCAGTCTCAGAGCACTATGACCCATTTCTGCTTACAAAGTATTTGAGTGCAGGATAAGGTTACTAATAATGCAGCCCTTGCTCACTACCTATGAGGAAGTCTGCCACCCAAGCTCAGTGGAGAAAAAAAAGGCTGCAGTGAATGATCAGCGTATCTGACAATCACTCTTGGTTATGAGATCCTGAGATGAGACCCTGAAGTGAAAAAGCAGCTGAAGAAATGTTTCCTTGTCTTCCTAATCTACTCTTTGTGAATAGTTTCATAGTTTTACCCTGGCCTCTTGAGCGGCATCACCAGCCTGTGAGGAACACAGGACAAGATGTTGTAATTTATTGAGGAGTAACCCGAGATAGTGTGTTAGTATTCTTGGCATTTTCCAATGCAGCATTTGTTCCCATTGTACCAATACACAGGATAAGGTTCCAAAAGGGTACATAACTTTCCCAAGGTCATAAGAAGTGGCAGGGTTGGAGCCTTTTCCACTATAATAGGAATATTGTCTTCCTACGGGCGTAGTCTGACAGTCTGCATTAACACACTCTGCAAGGAACAATAACATTCCTAACACCTGAAAGACAGGCCAAACGCAGGCAGAGTGACTGTTCCAAGGTGTATGCAGAGAAAAGGTAGAAACGCAACATCACAGGACCTGACACAGACCACCCACCAAAGGCCAGGTCTCTGGGGTGGGGTCTTGCAGTGTGTCTTAAGAGGAGCCAAGGTGATTGTGATTCAGCCCCAAAAATATCTTCCGACCATCTTCCTCATGGAATTTTATGTGTTTTCTTTTTTAAAAAAATTTTTTTAAAGATTTATTTATTCGTACAGAACTGGGGTACAGGCCAGAGATGCGGAGAGAGGATTCACCAGAGACAGAGTGGGGTACATAACAGACAGATCGACGAAGTACACTGCTGAGGGGAGCAGCGGGCGAGTCAGGAGAGGTCTGCCACACCATGTGGTCACCTCCGGGGCAGGCGGGGATCGAACTCATGCTGAAGTGGCTTTAGCTTCTCAGTGCTGTGCTTTAGCCCACTGTGCCACCAGGGAGGGCCTGTTTTCTTTTTTTAATGTGAGATTTTTCTCTGCTCAGTTTCCAAAAGATAATGGGACCAGGAAGCTTGAGCGTGGGATTTAGACCACTTGAAATTTGATTTTTAGCTCACACAAGAATAGAAGTCAATCTGTGGCTGCTTAATGTTCTGACCAGCAGCGCCCATCTGTAGGCAGTGTGCCAAGACTAATCAAGGTGCAAGTTCTACTGAGGCACTAGGTGTTACCTCCCCCATTAACTGTCTCGGCTCCTAGCTATTGCACAGGTGAGACCATGTCACCTAGTGCATTTTTGAGGGGAAGTAAAAATGTATCAGTATTGAAAAAAGGCCTAAATTGATATTTTTATTATAGGCAGTTAAGGCCAAGTTCAGTCTTTCAAAATTTGAAAACTCAGTCTAACCCTTTCTAACTTTTTGTCCTTAGTACCACTTGGGACTGACCACTCAGCCTGAACTCTACCTTCTGAACACGGTGGATGGCGACTTGCTGGTGTCTAGATGACTGACAGCTGGGAGACTGGATGAGAATCACTTTCCTTAGTCCTTTTGTGCCAAATGTCCTGTTCATGTATCTCTGTTAGTTCAGAGGTGAGTTTTGTTCAACTGTTTTGAACAAAAGGCAAAGATTTCCTCATGGAAAGGATGTTAAGAGCTGACAGCTCAAAGTATAGGTCAGAGACCTGGTGACCTCGCAACGTCCTGCCACAGCCAGAGTTGAGGGATGGGCCAGACAGGCCCCGCACCCCTGTGGACTTGTGACTGGACTTCCGGCTTGAAAATTATGTTATATGTCTATTTATGTAAACCTGGACCTATCCGTTTGGGTAGAATTTTAAGGATATATAAAATCAATCCATCTTTTATATTTCTTTTTATGTATTGTACAGATACATAATTCAGACACGTGTCTAGAGCACAAACGAGAAAGGAAAAGGAACAATGATCTTTGTCAGAAGAAAATGGTCAAAGTGACTTACCTTACAATACATAGTGGTGCTTTACTATGGCAGTTAAATTTCACTTTGATTTTAATTGACCAGACCCTTAGTAACTACTCAGACTGGTACATCATTTCTACAGAAAACATTTCTTCCATATGATAATCATATTTAATTTTAGCGTGCTTTGCTAATTATGATTCTTTTTTTCCTTCTCATTTCACTTGGCTTTATTTTCATAGATATGCTGTTATTTGGAAACTAACTTAATACCAAGTAACAAGACCCAGACCAGATTTTAACCAATCTGTTTTCCATGTTGCATTATAACTCATCCTTTTTAGACTCAAGTTTTAGTTAAAAAGAAACAGTTAATGTTTGACTTTGTAAGGCCCAAGAGAAGATACTAAATGTGTTTGTTTTTGCACTAACAGTGAACGGTGCAGCGTCTTCTCACTTTTCCCGTTAACCTTCTAAACACCGTTTCTGGTCCAGAATCTGAATGCAGGCAAGGCTCCTGGATCTGTGAGGGACTCTCCTAGGGAAGTCCAAGCATTTTAGTTTAAGATACTTTTTTTCTTAGTTTATTTTTACATATTTTTGTGCATTTTTCCATCTCAGTTTAAGATACTTTTTACCAAGAACTCTGAGGTTAAAACTGGACTGGGAAGATTAGTCTGCACCTTACAAACTACCTGGGTACACCTAGGTCAATTTTTTTGACCCTTTTTCCTAATCAGCATTTTTTATTATTATTAAAACAAAAATGTAGATACTTAAAATTTTTTACAAAATTAACTGGTTGAAAGTGAGAAGATTTGCGATGTTGGGCTCACACCCCTGCAGTGAAGGGCAGCTGCTGGGCTTGCAGGCAGCTGCCCACTGCTCACGGAATGGACGCCAGGGCGGCACACCCTCCGCACTCCTCCTCCCCAGATCCACAGGCCTTGAGCTGGCACGGCCTCTGTGACTTAGCACCGATTTTCAGCATAAGAAAATCTGACCTCTCTGCCTTCGTTTATGACTCAGTGCCTTTCAGTAAGTGTTTTGTTTTTCATTCCAACCCTGTCTCTCTTCATGTGTAATGCCTGGCCCTCCACGTGGCAGTGAGTTTTTCTAGATGACACTTCAGAATTCCTTCATTCTACTTCAGAGGCCCTTGGAACTTCTAACAAGAGCAGCAGTCTTGTGATGCACATTGGCATCCTTGTGATCTTAAAGCCAAAGCTACATTAACATCAGTCGTCAGCTTCCAAAGAGAAATTTTTAAATGTATTAGTGTTTTATATTTTCTTTATAAGCAGATGACAGTCTAACTGAACCAATCAGTTGGGTATTCCTTCTTCCCTGGGCAATTTCGTGCCTCACTAGTTTCATTACCAGAGAATGAGGAAAGTAAAG